CCTTCGTTGCAAGAATATAAATTTAGGGTTTAGGGTTTAGGGTTTAGGGAGCTAGTATCCCTGCGCCGCTGGGACAGCGCAATCCCCAAAACCTCTAACGGCCTTCGAGACCTAAACCGTAAACATCACACCCTGAAGCATCCAAGGATACCAGCCCTAAACCCTAAATCCTAAACCCTAAACCCTAAACCCTAAACCCTAAACTGTAAAACGTAAACCCTAAATCCTCAGGCAAAGACTTCGTCGTTGACGGGGCCGTTCACCTGCTGGTGGTCGCCAACTCCCAGCCTCCCTGGCAGCTTACAGGGGCTTGTTGGGTTTTGGGGGGTGACTAGGGTAAACCCTGAACCCTAAACCCTAAACCCTAAACCCTAAACCCTAAACCCTAAACCCTAAACCCTAAACCCTAAACCCTAAACCCTACAGTAAATCCTAAACCCTAAACGCTAAACCCTAAACTCTAAACCCTAAACCCTAAACCCTAACATTTAGGGCTTCAGGGTTTAGCCTGCTGAGGCTTAGGCTCTTTGGGTGGCTTCCGGGGGTCTTCAGGGCGTTGCGAGTCGTCTTGGGCTTCCTGGTCTTTTCAGGTCTTCGGGGTGTTCAGGGTCTGGGTCTAGGGATTTCTTAGAGAGCCCCCTAAACCCTAAACCCTAAACCCTGAACTCTACACCCCTAGACCCCAAACCCCTAAACCCAAAACTCAAACCCCCAAACCCCTTAACCCCTATAAACCCTATCCCCCATTTTCAGAACAGGCTGCACCTAGGATCCGTATGATGGTTTTCGGTATGTTGGTGAATGAGGGCTTTGGGGTTGGTAGTCCGAAGGACCTTCTAAGCCCTCACGAGGGGGTTTACGGTTTGAGGTTTAGGGTTTAGGGCTCAGAGTTTGGGAGTTACATAGGGCCCAGGGTTTAAGTATACTTGTAAGGGAGCGCTGGGTTCGTTGCAGGTGTTCACGGCTTAGCACTAATACAATTGCGGGTGAATCTGTGGGATTAACCTCACCTCCGGGGAATAAAAGAAAGGGGTCGCATGTTTTCCTGAGCTGCTTCTTTTGGCGGTTGGTGGGCGGGTGGGCGGAAAGGCTTTCCTCTCATGCACTTGTCCGGTCCTCTTCTCCTCTTCTTGTCCTCCTAGTGAAGTAGTTGTGTTTCTGTCCGGGGTTTTAGTATTCTCTTCTGGGAAGTTTTTTTGGAAGGCTCTCCCCAATTTGTTTTCTCAACTTCTCACTGGTTTTGTTATCCCCAGGGTCCAACAGATGTCCTTTCAATTCATCAGATCCTCGGATTAACCCTAAACCCTAAGCCCAAGCCCGAATCTACAAACCCTAAACCCCAAATCCTAACCCCGAGCCCTAAACCCTAAACCCCAAACCCCAAACCCTAAACCCCAAGCCCTAAACCTCAAGCCCTAAACCTAAACCCTAAGCCCTAAGCCTCAAACCCCGTGCCCTGAAGAAGAAAGACAGGCAGAGCTTCGTGGCGAACGACCTTGACATGCACCGGGACACGCAGGGAGCCCCTTATTTCCTTGATTTTGCGTTGCAGTTTCCTGATAATCCCTTTAAAACCAAAAACGGCGCCCTGTTTATTCCTAGATTTCTCCTGGGTCTAGTTCTGGCGTCCCTAAATCCTACTTGGAGGTTCATGGGTAGTTATAAGTAGGGTGGGTTTAGGGCTTAAGGCTCAGAGTTTAGGGTTTAGGGTTTGGGGTCTAGGGTTATCAGTACCCTAAATAGGGTTAAAGCCTAACCACCATACTTACGACCCTACTTACAATTACCCATGAACCTCCAAGCAATCCCGAGCCCTAAGCCCTAAACCCTAAACCCTACTTACCCCAAATCCGAAGCCCTAAACCCTAAACCCTACTTACCCTAAACCCTAAACCCCAAATCCTAAACCCTAAGCCCTAAACCACGAACCCCAAACTTGAAGGTTCTTACTTAGCCGTGAACTCCTAGACCCTAAACCCTAAACCCTAAACCCTAAACCCTAAACCCTAAACCCTAAACCCTAAACCCTAAACCCTAAACCCTAAACCCTAAACCCTAAACCCTGGGATTCTACCTTGGAGCCCTCAAGGTTCTACCCTTGGGTTTGGGGACCCTTTCGAAGATCCTCCAAGGGAATATGAGGGCCACACCAGGAGTCTGTTGAGGTTTTAGGGTTTAGGGTTTAGGGTTTAGGGTTTAGGGTTTAGGGTTTAGGGTTTAGGGTTTAGGGTTTAGGGGTACATCCCTTAGGTCCGAGTATGACTGCCTTGACGAAGCCCTCAAAGCTGTTCTGAACTTGACGTGCTCTCAAGCTGCTCTAAACCCTAAACCCTACACCCTAAACCCTAACCCTAAACCCTAAACCCTAAACCCTAAACCCTAAACCCTAACCCTAAACCCTAAACCCTAAACCCTAAGCCCTAAGCCCTAAGCCCTAAACCCTAAATCCTAAACCCCAAGTCTGGGCGCCGCGAGGTCACGTCTGCATCTCATCACCGGGCCGAACATGGGCGGCAAGAGCACTTACATAAGGCGCACGCTGAGCTGCTGGTTTGGGGTTTTTGGTTTAGGGTTTAGGATTCAGGGTTTTGGGTTGAGGAACGAATCTTAACTTACCATCATCAAGACAACCCCATTCGGTACTATATTTCCGTCTACTATGGTAACTTCCTGTAGGTTTCTAACCCATAAGCCCTATACCCTACGCCCTAAACCCAAAGCCCTAAACTCTAAACCCTAAACCCTAAAATCTAAACCCTAAACCCTAAGAAGTCGTAGATGCAGTGCCTAAAACCGAAACGCCAGACCTGCAATTCAAGTTCCTAAACGGTAGCCCATGAAAGGGAAGGAACAGCAACTTGAAGCCAAAGGCTCGTAGCCCTAAGCCCTCATCGGTTTAGGGTTTAGGGTTTAGGGTTTATGGGTTTAGGGTTGAATCAGGCTACGGGGTTCAGGATCTAAGGCGGGAAGTTGGGGTTTGGCGTTTGAGGCCTATTGTGTTGCCAAGGGGTCGCGGTTTAGGGTTTAGGGTTTAGGGTTTAGGGTTTAGGGTTTAGGGTTTAGGGTTTAGGTTGGGCTTTTAGAGCTCTTCCAGTGTCTGGCCGAAGTCTAGTTAGTCTGGTGCGCTGTAGTCGGCTGTATGGTTCAGTGTGGGTCGGTACTCAACACCTCAACCCGAAACCCTAAACCCTAAACCCTAAACCCTAAACCCTAAACCCTAAACCCTAGGTCTGGGCCCTAGTACCCTAAAGCCCTAAACCGCGTGAGCCCCCAGAATCCCAAACTCTCACTCTGGACCACTTGAAGGTGTAAAGGGTGTAGAATTTCGGGTTTAGGGTATCGGGTTTAGGGTAAGTCTGAACAGTCTAGCTGGTTCAAGCTGCCAGTTATACCTTTTTTTCCAAGCCCGCTGCGGAAACCCTCTACCTGCAACTCCCAAACACAAACCCACACACCAAAAAGAAAAACCTAAGGGTCCATGTACCCATATAGTATAGACTTGGGCCCCAAAGCTACTGTATGGGGAACCCTTTACAGCCCAAGTATATACTATATAGGTACATGGACCCTTTGGGAAAGATATCACAAAACAAACGCACCCTCCGCTCCCCGCCAATCGTTCAAGCTCGAGCCCTCGGAAGACGCCCGCGCGCGGCCGTTTCCAGCCCTGGTCGAAGGTTGCTCGAAAGTAGTGTAGATACACGGGGGAGGTAGGGTTTGCGGTTTAGGGTTTCGGGTTTAGGGTTTAGGTATTGGGGTTTAGGATTTAGGGTTTAGGGCTTCAGCGGAGTTGGGGCGATCGGGGGTCCTTCTGGCACGCCCCTTATGCTCCCAAGAGTCCTCATCGCGTCTAACCCTAAGCCCCCTAAACCCTAAACCTAAATTTTATAAAACCCAAAACCCTAAATAAAGGGGTCCTACGTTCGAGCACCCCCCAGCTGCGTTGCTTCTCTGGCGTCTCGGCAGCTCACTCATGGAGGTGCCCGGGGGAGTTGGGTTTTGGGTTTGGGGTTTAAAGGTTCGGGGTTTAGGGCCTAGTTTAGGGTTTAGGGTTTAGGGTTTAGGGTTTAGGGTTTAGGGTTTAGGGTTTAGGGTTTAGGGTTTAGGGTTTAGGAGGGTTCAGGGTTTAGGAGGGTTCAGGGTTTGGGGTTTAGGATCAGCTAGAAGTCCCTGCATGCAGTGGTTCAGGCGAGCAAACAAAGAATAGCCCTGAAACCTCAAGATGCCCTAACCCTGAACCCTAAACCCTAAACCCTAAACCCTAAACCCTAAACCCTAAGCCCCAGAAGAACTTGCCCTGCGGCACCGGCTGCCTCATGTGCTTGGCTGCGATGCTCAGTACTTAGTTATTGGGAACGCGTGCAAGCCGTAAACGGAATTGGACCGGACCGAGGAGGAGTTTTGGGAGGGGGCTGCCCTCAACCCGAAACCCCGAATCTTAAACCCTAAACCCTAAACCCTAAACCCTAAACCCTAAAGCCGAAACCCGAAACCCGAAACCCTTAAGCCCTCAACCCCTAAGAATTTCTCAATCTAGCCCCTCGTACGGCTCAGGATCCCCACCACAGCCTCCCTTTCACCGGAGCCGCCGCCTAACGTCAAGAACGCCAACTTCCGCAAACCCCGACAACCTTCAGGGCCTATTTGGGTTTAGGGTTTAGGGTTTAGGGTTTAGGGTTCAGGGTTTAGGGTTTAGGGTTTAGGGTTTGGGGTTTAGGGCACTTAAGGTTTCAACGCTTTTCAGGTCTTTAACGTCCAGGGTTGGGGTTGTTCAAACCCTAAAACCTTGAACCCAAATAAAAAAGTCCTACGTTTCAGGCTGTCTCGGGCGCGTGGTGGCACTAGGACCCAAGCTTTGTGGTACTTTACTGTAACTTTAGATCCTTAGCCTTTTTGGGTTTATTGGGTTTCTTAGTAGGGCAGCTAAGATTTTTGAGTTTTTAGCTACCCTTCTGAGTGTAGCCAAGCATCTCCGCTCTCTCAAAACGCCCCTCCGAGCCATGCCGAATCACAACTGCTACCTGGCCGTTTCGCTGGATGATGAGACCAAAGCATCGCTTGGGGAGGTCGGGCCCTGGACCCTAAGCCCCTTTAGGGTTTTGGGTTTTGGGTTTAGGGTTTAGGGTTTAGGGTTTGGGGTTTGGGGGTTTGGGGGTTCAGGGTTTAGGGGTTAGGGTCCCTGAAGCCGAAACGTTAGGTGGGGCGTTGGTCTAGTCTAGGCTCCGAGTCCCAGCCTTCCTGAGGCTCCTTACACGGGTAGCCCCTAAACCCTATACACCCCCAAACCCTCTAAACCCCCAAAGCCCCAAATTAAGCCTCTTGAACCCGACCACGCGACACCCCAGCTCTTCGCAATAAAAGCGCTGGACCGTCCCAGCCTCAACTCCTTGGCCCTTCCGTACCCTCATAATTAAAAAAAACGCCAGGGGGTGGGGAGGTTGCCACCCTTGTTGAGCCCTGTGTCCTTCGCAGACCCTAACCCCTAAACCTCGATATACACCCCTAAACCCCTAAACCCTCAACCCTCAACCCTCCACCCTCGACCCTCGACCCTCAACCCTCAACCCTCAACCCTCAACCCCAAACCCTAATCCCCAAACCCCAAACCCCAAACCCCAAACCCCAAACCCCAAATCCCAAACCCCAAACCCCAAACCCCAAACCCCAAACCCCAAACCCCAAACCCCAAACCCTAAACCTTCTGTGGGAAGCCCCAGGTGGCCGAGTCCTTGACGTCATCCCCGGCGCTCCTCAACCTTCCCGCAGACACCGGGTTCGATGCCGTGGAGCCGGAGGCAATGCACATGACGCGCCCTGTTGAAGTTAGGGGGGTTTAGGGTTTAGGGTTTAGGGTTTAGGGTTTAGGGCGCCTTGTTGAATTTTGAAGTTCTTTGGGGGGGGGGGGGGGGGGGGAGTGGGTTGAGGTGGTTTGGGGTTGTTTAGGGTTCCAGCACTTTTGGAATTTAGGGGGAAGTTCCGGGGTTGAATTTCGAAGTTCTTGGGGTTGATTGTGGGGCTGACCTGGAGGTTCATGGGTGACTACAACTAGGGCGGTGTGTTTTAGAATGGCAATTATAACCCTAAACCCTAAACCCTAAACCCTAAACCCTAAACCCTAAACCCTAAACCCTAAACCCTAAACCCTAAACCCTAAAGCCTAAACCCTAAACCCTAACCCCTACTTAAGGTACTTAAAATCCTACTGCTAACTACCCATGAACCTCCGGTTCTGCGGCTCTTCAAAGTCGTGGTGCGACTGTTTCTTGGGTTGGGCGCTCTAGATGTGGGGGGCCGTCTAGCGGTTCAGAGAGCATGAGCGTGTCCCCCAGGCGTTAGACTCTATGACAAAGATCCAGGCGGCCTATGGGATATTACTAGGACCGACCTTGTGTTGACAATGTCCTTTCGAGTGGAGGGGCTTCATGCTCCGCATAGCTTCAGCCTAATTATCTTAGTAGCTGAGTGAGTACACTTTACACTTTGGGGGATACTAGTGTACACTCTTTGGGGGCCTATGAACTCAGCAACTAAGCTATTCATGCTAAGGCTTTGTAGGTCGGCATCTTGTAGAGTTGGGCCTCGCCCAAGCGGCATAGGTCTGACCGGACCAGCCAAGGTTCCTCTTCTTCGGAGAGCATGCTCGCAGGCTGCCTGCTGCGGTATTGGAGGCATTGCACCAGAGGCTTTGCAGCGAACTGCTGGCGGAGGGCCTGACTGCTCCTATGGCCTTCCGCGGCTTCGAGGTCCTCATACTAAGGGACCCTAGACCCTAAACCCTAAACCCTATACCCTAAAACCCTAAACCCTAAACCCTAAGAGAGGTCTTCGGCAAGATGAACGTGATCGTTGCCACCTTTGACGCTCCCAAGGCCATGCTCGACCTGCGCGAGAGGGTCCTCCAAGCTTGCTTTCAGGACCGTTTAGGGTTTAGGGTTTAGGGTTTCGGGTTTAGGGTTTAGGGTTTAGGGTTTAGGGTCACTTAAGGGCCTTGGATGTTTTTTTGGATATTTTCCTTTCTGGGGCCTTATTATGCGGGACCCCGCATGAAAAACACCTGCATGTTTCAATGGGGTTTAGAAAGGCCAACCCAGATTAGGATCCCTCTTGCAATGTAAGGGTCTGTCCTTTAATGAAGGGAGCCAGGGCTTTTTGGGGAACTTGCGCCCGGTTGTCCAAACACCCCGCGCCCCAATTAAGGAGAAGCTCGAACCAAAGTCCCGAAACCTAAGATGTCCCAGACCCCAGCCCAAGCCTTAGGTAAACTCAGAACTGAAAGCTCAACCCTGAACCTCTGAGCCCTAAACCTAAATCCCTGAACCCCAGGCTCCCCCTTAGCCTGTTTGAGGACTTTGGCTTTCCAGACACGCTCCACAAGCTGCTCAAAGAGCAGGTCGTTTCTAGACCGCCTATACGGTTGTAGGGTTTAGGGTTTAGAGTTAGGGTTTAGGAGTTTAGGGTTTAGGGTTTAGGGTCTAGGGTGTAGGGTTAGGGTTGAGGGTCGAGGGTTTAGGGTTGAGGGTTTAGGGCTGGTTCCTTGTACTGCCGCTACACACCCCACAGCAGCTTATTTTCTATGAAGCCGAAGCCCCAAAGCCCTACACCCTATAAAACCGAAGCCCCACACCCCTAATCCGGATTCGAGTTTAAAGCTTGAAGTTTTGGGTTCAAAGTTTACGGTTTAGAGTTTAGGGTTTAGAGTTTAGGGTTTTGGGGTTTAAGGTTTCCCTAAACCCTAAACCCTAAACCCGAAACCCGAAACCCTAAACCCTAAACCCGAAACCCGAAACCCGAAACCCTAAACCCTAAACCCTAAACCCTAAACCCTAAACCCGAAACCCTAAACCCTAAACCCGAACCGTGAACCTTGGGTCCTTCGGATCGCCGCCCAGGTTTGGATACCGCACGTCACGCTCGGGAAGATCCGGGCCACCCGAGCGCAGCTGGGCGCCCTGAGCACGAAAAGGCCAGGATTTAGGGTTTAGGGTTTAGGGTTTAGGGTTTAGGGTTTAGGGTTTAGGGTTTAGGGTTTAGGGTTTAGGGTTTAGGGTTTAGGGTTTAGGGTTTAGGGTTTAGGGAAACCTTAAACCCTAAAACCCCTCAAACTGCCAAAAGGTTTGAAGGGTTCAGGGTTCTAGTAGGGTTGTTCTAGGGTTCTAGGGTTGTTCTAGGGTTGTTCTAGGGTTGAAGTCTAGTGTAGGGTGTGGGCGGGTTGCAGGCCTGGGGTTGAAGGCTTGAGGCTTGGGGAGAAGGGTCGAAGTCCCGAACCCTGAGCCCCTGGGGCCCCTGAGCCCTGGGGCCCCTGTAGCTTGAAGCTATTCCAAGGTTTAGGGTTTAGGGCTATAGGGTTTAGGGTTTAGGGTTTAGGGCTATAGGCTATAGGGTTTAGGGTTTAGGGTTTAGGGTTTAGGGTTTAGGGTTTAGGGTTTAGGGTTTAGGGTTTAGGAGTTAAAAACGAAACTCCTCGACGAAACTCCTGGAAACTCGAAACTTTCCCGGAGCCTGAACCCAGAATATTCTAAGCAAACCTTCAACCCTGTACCCCTAAACAACGAAACTCCCCAGACATGAACCCTTAATGACTTCAGTTCATTTTCAATAGTTCCTTTCTTTCTTGTATTAATGTAGTTTTTCGGGCTAACCCTAAACCCTAAACCCTAAACCTTAAACCCTAAACCCTAGACCCTAAAACCTAAACCCTAAACCCTAAGCCCTAAGCCCTAAGACCTGAACCCTAAACCCTAAACCCTAAGCCCTAAACCCTAAACCCTAAACCCTAACCCCCAGAACCCTAAACCCAAGCGCACGCACCTTCCAGAAGGCTGCGCGCCTCCCTCGCGACTGCGCAGCCTAAGGCCGGCTTGGTGCGGGCAGTTCTCATGCAAAGTTATGGCCAAAAGTCAACTCAAAACCCAAAGCCCTAAATAAACCCAAAACCCCAAAAACCTACAACCTAAACCCGAAACCCTTGCCCTGAACCCGAAACCCTGAACCCTCAACCCTAAACCCTAGCCCTAAACCCGAAACCCTGAACCCTAAATCTCTGCAAGGGACTGACACTGCTTGGAGAGCGGCCACTGAGGGTGCGGCTGGATTGGGATGCGGCTCTTGAGTTTGCCCCGCCGTCGCCCACGGAGTAACTGCCCGGTTTAGGGTTTAGGGTTTAGGGTTTAGGGTTTAGGGTTTGGGGTTTAGGGGCCTGCTTCGCAGGGGTTTCAAGCACGGTGATAGGCCCCGCCATAGAGTGAGAGTCTCCCAAAGACACTGCCCTCTCTGCTGAGAATCTGTGATTTTTGTGATGTCCCTGTGCCACCATTTCTGCATGGGAGCCTTAGCCGACAAGTTTCTGGCTTGGACCAAAGCCGGCTGTCAGCTGTCACTGCGACCAGTTGGATGCAACTTTGTACAGTGTACAGTGTCTTGAGGGGTATAAGGAGGGACCCCTTATAAAATCCCCCATATTCCTAAGTAGCCCTTGAATAACCCCAAATTAGCCCCTAAGGCCCCTTATAAGGGTCCCTCCTTTCGTCCCTTGCGTGTCCGATTTTGACACCGGCAGGGCCCCAAAACAGGACACTGACCGAGCCTGCGCAGCACCGAGGGATCAGGGGCGGGTTTGTGAAACCCCAGAACCCCTTTATAAGTCCGATCAACCCTATGAGCCCTCTAAGCCTCATAAGCCCTGTAACCTCTAAACCCCAAACCCAAACCCTAAACCTTCAACCCTAAAAATTAAAAGCCCTATAAGCCCTCTGAGCCCTATAAACCCGATAAACCCGAAAAGCCCTACAAGCCCTATAAACCCGAAACCCTATATATAAACCCTAGGCTCTCAAAGCAGGTCCACCCTAGAATCCGTGCTCGCTTGTTGTGTTGGGTAAGAAGGGTTCTTCGGGTTTAGGGTTTAGGGTTTAGGGCTTAGGGTTTAGGGTCTGGGGCGTGCTTGGGTCCTGGGCCCTTTTTAAAGGATCCTCGACGGAATATTAAGGGGAACCTCTTAGGG